AAAAATTGACGCTTTTGAACTGTGGTGTTGGAGAAGACTCTTGAGAGTCCCTTGGACTGCAAGGAGATCCAGCCAGTCCATCCTAAAGGAGATCAGTCGTGGGTGTTCACTGGAAGGACTGATGTTGAACCTGTAGCTCCAATACTTTGGCCACGTGATGTGAAGAACTGACTCATTAGAAAAGACCCTGATGCTGGGAAAGATTGAAGGTGGGAGGAGAAGGGGATGACAGAGGACGAGATGGTTGGATGGCATCACCGACTCAACGGACATGAGTTTGAGTGAACTCCAGGAGTGGGTGATGGACAGGGAGGCCTGGAGTGCTGCAGCCCAGGGGATTGCAAACAGCTGGACGTGACTGATCGACTGAACTGAACTGAACAGGGGGTTTTATCAAGTGCTAATCCACAGGACTTCTGCAGCATCCATTGTCTGCAAGGCTTGTGTAGAGAACTATAGGAAATTCTACACATTCGTTGGAAATTCAATGGTGCTGCTCCCCTCAGCACCAAAAGCTGGTTATGACAGGATGGATGGCATGTCCTCTTTACTAATATCACTCTTAAAGGAACTCAGCATGCCATGAACCAACAGCAAAATAAGAGAAAAGAAAAACCATTCTGTATTAAGGGCACACTGGTGATGACCTCAAGTCACTGGCACAACGCCATTAAGAAATCCGGGGAAGGGAATTCCCTGGTGGTCCAGCGGCTGGGACTCCACACTTTCACTACTGTGGGACCGGGGTTTAATCCCTGGTCAGGGAACTAAGATCCCTGAAGTTCTAGGGCATGGCCAAAAAAAAAAAGTTTTAAAAGATATCCAGGTTGGGACTTCCCTGGCAGTCCAGTGGTTAAGACTCCATTTTATCAATGCAGGGAACACAGTTTCAATCCCTGGTCAGAGAACTAAGATCCCACATGCCATGCTGCACAGCCAAAAAATTTTTTTTAAAGATCCCAAAAATAAAAAAAAAAGAAATCCTAGGTAAACAGCCAACTGTGGAAAATGTTCAGTAAGAAGAGATTGCAAAGGGCTTCAAGGTTGGATTAAGTCCTCCACCCAAGAGTTGATACAGTCAAACTAGAGCCTGCAAGGATTTCAAGAGCAACGGGTTTTTATTTCAGTGCAGAAAACTCGAGCAATGGACTGCAAGGTTGGGCTGGGATGTGCATATTTAGCCCAAGTAGAGTACGCAATTTTTCTTTTCTTTTCTTTTTGGCTGCGTAGCACAGCGGCGTGTGCAATCTTAGTTCCCCAACCAGGGTTCGAACCCTCGCCCCCTGCAGTGGAAGGTGGAGTCTTACCACTGGACAACTAGGAAGGTCCAGGAAGCAATTTTTCAGAGCTGAGCACTAGATGGAGAGATTCGGTCCACCCCCATCCCCGTCCTCCTGTGCATCTGTAACCACTCCTCTCTGCGTTACCACACCCACCCCGTCACGTGCACAAGCCCATCCCTTTCTTATCCCCTAAAATCTGGGATCATTGCACAAACCGAAAAGAGGGAGAAGAAATCCAGACAAAAGAAGGCTTCCTGCAAAACACACCTTTATCCACATCCTGTCCCAGCCCTTCATAGTCTCCGTCACCTTCCCACTGAAGCTACTAGGTGAGTCAGAGAGGCGACACTATCCTAGTTTTATTTCATTTTGTCACTGGCAAGGAAAAATGGCAAGGAGAAAGGAAATAGTATTTTTAAGGCTCAGCTAGAACTTCAAAACTACTTTAGAACTCCCGAAGAGATGCCGCTGTGCTTGTTAGCTTTAAGCAGCACACAGCTTTATTGACAAATGCATCACCTCCATAACTAAGAAAAGAGGTGATCGACAATTTCATATTTCCACTTTCAGGACTCGTTAGATCATTACCTCCAGGATTGCGGCTGACATGCCTTCAGAGACAGAGCTATTCACCACCGCGAAGCAATTCTTCATGACCGCATGGAGATCCTCCTGAGCCATCTCCCTGATCAGCCGTACCCCAGGGGTCCTGAAACAACAGGGGGCAGAGAGCATCTGTGGCTGGGAATCTTACCAGGGAGAGGCTGGGAGGAGAGATGACAATTTTGGAGAAATATCTTAAATCACCGGGGAAGCATGATTGATAAAGGGTTCAGTACAGAAAACCATACTGGAGTGAGAATCTATCCTATTTCCATCCCTGATAAGGGAAGGAGGAAGCCTGTGAACACACCTGCTTCCATCCTGAATCCTTCTGACCAATGAGACACATGATTCTCAGATACCGGACATCAGAGATGTGGCTCTTGCCATTTTTCTCTGAATGATTTAGAAAACAGACCTTTGCTAATAATGCAGCCTTTTCCCCAATGCTTTTTTTAAAAGATACTCAGAGAGGGTAAGTACCCCTGGTGGTCCAGTGGCTAAGATTCTGTGCTCCCAATGCAGGGGGCCTGAGTTCGACCCCTGGTCAGGGAACTAGATCCCACATGCTGCAACTAAGACCCAGTTCAGTCAAATAAATAAATAAAGAGAAATGTTACAAAAGATACTCAAAGAGATAAGCATAGACGTATCATAAACAGAGAGAACTAGAAGTAGTGAAACCAAGAGTGTTAACACAACAAATACCCTGTGCCCAACACTTTGTCACAGAGGTTTTGCCTTGTTTTATTTTTCTCACCCAACAGTACGGACATTCTTCCCCATTCCCCCAACCCTCTCCAGTCTCATGGTTTTGAGGTTATCCTTTCACAAAACTGGTTATACTTTTACATACATGCATTCTGTATCTATGAGCAATATAAAGACACCTGATTGCATATGGGGGTGAAATCAGTGTTTCCCAGTCCTCCGGGGTGGTGGAGGAGGAGCTGGGATCCTGGGAGGGTGAGGATATACACATAAAAGGGGGACGACCCACATGGGAGAGGAAACTTCTGGCTCTTGTCCTGCCCCATCTCCCCACTTAGAACACGGAAAGTGACGTGTGAGTTCTACAGCTACACTCATCTTAGAAATGGAAGTCACAGGTAGGGAGCACAGGACAGAGAGACAGGAGACAATGTCTCTGAAGTCTTACTTGGTCCTCAGATTTTTTGATGGGAGCGGTTAAAGCCTTCGGGTGTGTAAGCCAGCATTGTTGGGTCTCTGTTGTTGCTGCTGAGCCGCTGAGTCGCGTCTGACTGTTTTTCGACCTCGTGGACTGTAGCCCACCAGGCTCCTCCCCTGTCCATGGAATTTTTCAGGCAAGAATGCTGGAGGGGGTTGCCATTTCCTCCTCCAGGGGATCTTCCTGGCCCAGGGATGGAACCTGCATCTCCTGCACTGGCAGGAAGATTCTTTACCACTGAGCCACCAGGGAAGCCTTGGTCTCTGTTACGGGCAGACAAATGCAATTGACAGCAAAGACCCTGGCAAATTGCTTTCCAGGGGAATGGCTGCAATTTTCACCCTCACCAGCAGACTTTTTAGTTTTTTTTCGGTTTTGACCCATGAGGTCAGGGACAATTATAACCTCAAAGTGGGTTTCCTGGGCATTTCCTGACCTAGTGAGGTTGTCTTCACAAATGCATCCACGCGACTGCTCCCTAGCGAACTGCTGATGCTCCCAGCATGTCAGCTTCCTGGCTTGTAGATGGGGAAAGGAATAGCGCCCAGATTCTCAGAGGATCATCAGAAGATTAAAGGAGGAATTATTAATGAAGTGCTGGGAACAAAGCCTGGGACACGGTGAATGCTGGGAACTGGGATTATTTATCAGTCACTAGGCTTCCTCTCCTGCAAAACACCTGTTCACTCCCTACCCATCTCTCTCTCTTTTTTAAATGTATTTCACCATGTCACTCAGCATGTGGGACCTCAGTTCTCTGTTGCTTCAGTCGTGTCCGACTCTTTGTGACCCCGTGGACTGTAGCCCACCAGGCTCCTCTGTCAATGGGATTCTCCAGGCAAGGATACTGGAGTGGGTTGCCATGCCCTCCTCCAGGGCATCTTCCTGACCCAGGGATTGAACCTGCATTGGCAGGCAGGTTCTTTACCATTCCCTGACCAGGGATCAAGCCCGAATCCTCTGCATTGGAAGCTTGGAGCTTTAACCACCGGACCACCAGGAAAGTCCCATACTTACCTTTTTACTTTGGCTTTTACTTCCCTTGTGAAGACTGGATCAACCTGAAAATTGACAAAGACGAATTTTAGGAAAAGCCAGAAATGAATCTAAGTCTCAAGAGTATTGCAGATCATGGCAACAGAGCCAGATGTAACAACTGAGAAAGGGAAAAAGTAAATCAAATGCAAAAGAATACCCCTGAGTCCAGCTACTGCAAAGTAATAAGGAAAAGAAGGACTTGAGAGAAAATTTAAAGACACAAACACATACACACACACAGTTGTCCTTCAGTATCCACCGTTCCAGGACCCCCTCAGATATCAACATCTGTGCATGCTCAAGTCCTTTATATAAAATGGTATAGTATTTACATCTAACTTAAACACATCCTCCTGTATACTTTAAATCATTTCTGGATTATTTACAGTACTAGTAAAATATAAATGCAATGTAAATAGGTGCCAATGCACAGCAAATTGAAGTTTTGCTTTTTGGAACTTTCTGGAATCTCTTTTCCTGAATATTTTCAGTCCATGGTTGGTTGAATCTGAGAATACAGAACCTGATGATACACAGGGCCAACTGCATTCCTATTTCCTGTTTGGTCTATAAGATAAGAGCTTGGTGAGGCTCCAGGTACGGGAGGCCAAGAGCTATCCACTCAACTCAAAGTCTTAAAACAGAAGTCATTTACAGTCAAGGGAAAATCTGACAAAAACATAATACTTCAATGAAAGTTTTGCCTGGTTGATTACAGTGGTGGATTTTGTCCTAAAACCTTTGAGGCAGAAGGAGTTGGAACCCTTGGTAGATCTAAAATAAAAGATCTGACTGAATTAAAATTTTATTTTTAACAGGGAGCCTTTCCAGACACACAATTTTAAAGCAAAGGCACATCCATGGGCTGATACTTGGGAAAACAAAATGGGGTCTTCTCCATACAATGAAATATTATTCAGCCAAAAGAAAAAAAAAAAAAAGGAATGAAGTATGATTTATGCTACAGTACGGATGAACCTTGAAAACATGATGCTAACCCAGATGCCCATCAGCAGACGAATGGATGAGGAAGCTGTGGTACATATACACCATGGAATANGGATGAACCTTGAAAACATGATGCTAAGTGAAAGAAATCAGACACAAAAGGCCTTAAATTGTGATTCTTTTTATATGAAATGTCCAGAACAGACAAATCTATAAAGAAAGAGAGTAGATTAGTTGTTAGGCACTGGGAGGTGGGGAGAATGGGAGTGACTGCTAATGGGCATGGGATTTGGGGGAGATGATGAAAATGCCCCAAAACTAGATAGGGGTGATGACTGCAAAACTTTGTATTAAATACTTTAAAATGGTGCATTGTATGACACACAAATTATATTTCCATTTTTAAAAAGCCAAGTCCAACCTTTTAATTAGTTGCAATGTGATATTCTTAAGTCTGCACTTCACTCCTATTTCATATCTAGAGGAAATATGTCCCTTGAGACAGGTGCCATATATATATATATATATATATTTTTTTTTTTTTTTTTAAAGATTTATTTACTGGTTGTGGTGGGTCTCCTTTGCTGTATGTGGGCTTTCTCTAGTTGTAGAGATTGGGGGCTACTGTCTAGTTGTGGGGCATGGGCTTCTCACTGAGGTGGCTTCTCTTGTTGAGGAGTACAGGCTCCAGACATACAAGCTTCAGTAGTTGTGGCTCATGGGCTTAGTTGCTCTGTGACATGTGGGATGTTCCCAGACCAGGGAATGAACCAGTGTCTCCTGCATTGCCAGTCAAATTCTTAACCACTGGACTACAAGCGGAGCTCCCAGGCCCCCTGTTTTGTCCCATCATGTCCCTGGTAGTCAGTATGTTTGCTGAATTAATGCAAACATTAATAGCAATGTCTCTTAAACTGGTCTCTTACACCATCGTTTTTGACTCCACATGCTTTTAAGAAAACTCATATGTAGATGTCCAGACTGAGTGGGGCTCTGGAGAGAGACCACCTGGGCCAAATCCTTCCCAAATCAATCTCTAGCCACATGGCCATGTGCACATTAATGGATCTCTCTGGGCTTCAGGCTCCTCATCCATAAGAAGAGAATGACAACAGCACCGTGGGATTGTTGGGAGGATCAAATAGTTAAAAGACATTCAGTGCTTACAACTTTTTCTGAAACACAGTAACTGCTCTATGAGGAGTAGAAGAAACAGTTAAATATCAAAGCCTTGCTAGAATGAATAAGAATGAGAGCAGCAGATTGCAGCACTAATACAAAAATATCTATACACTTCATCTCAAATGTGTACTTTCCCAGTGACACTGCCATAGTTCTCAGCAAGACACCTACACCTGAAGGTCATCACAGAAAACACACCTTATTCCTGACCATCAGAAGCCAAACTAATGTACTCTTTATACACAATGACCTCTTCTCAGGTAAATTTACTTCCTGAACTACCAAGAGGATCTTTACGGATAACTTTCCACCTGTCATAGGGTCCCTACAAGCCTATTAGGATGAAGCTGCAGTGCATGCTTATCGCATCTGTTTCATCCAACTGCAAACTATTAAATGAAACAATCAGTAGACAGGTTTTACCCTGCATCTCTCCCAGGTTTTATTAACAATGAATACAATTTTAAAATAACTGAGAAAATATTCTTAAGCTTAGGCAAGTGTAAGACAAAATTCTAAACATGTCTTCAGAGATAGAGGTAGATGAGGGTGTAAGCACATTTTATAAATACGTGTCTGCCAGCTCTTCCTGTTACTGCAGATGAGTTTAGAAATGAAGGCAGATTCAATTTCTATTCTCATTCACACCTCACCAGTAGGTATCAGGAATTACAAACCAAGTCGACTTAATGAATATGATGATATCCCTAGAGTTTGTCATACTGAAATAATTTTGTGTTTTCGAAAAACTTCATTTTGGTTTCCTCTGGCGAGGAAATGCTGTGTGTGTGTGTGTGTGTGTGTGTGGTGAAGCCCAGATCCTTTAAACTATTCATATGCTGAAGATGTATCCCAAAGAACCAGTAACGCAAAGCTCACTCATTTCCCTGAGGTAATGACATCACTTTGATGGTGGACACAGTAAATCTGGGTGCGTAACAAAGTGGAAATTATTCCTAGATTTTTTAAAAAGCTTAATATACTTTAATAGCAAACTTGCAGGAACAGTACAGAAGATACACATCACTAGACACATGTATGTAAAACAACTCAAAAGTGTACTGAACAGATGGAGCCTACCATATGATTAAACTACTGCAAAGGCCATTTAGTTGCCATCAAGAAGAAACGGACTTGTTTTAAATATCATATGATACTGTTTATATTTGGAATTTTAAAAATGATGTAAATGAAATTATTCACAAGACAGAAATAGACTCACTGACAAAAAAACAAAGTGATGGTTACCAAAGGGGAAAGGCGTGGAGAGAGGGATAGAGTAAGAGCATTCGTGTCTGACTCTTTGCAACCCAATGGACTATACAGTCCACGGAGTTCTCTAGGCCAGAATACTGAAGTGGGTAGCCTTTCCCTTCTCCAGGAGATCTTTGCAACCCAGGAATCGAAGTGGGGTCTCCTGCATTGCAGGCAGATTCTTTATCAACTGAGCTATCAGGGAAGCCCAACACACAAACACTACTATATATAAAATTGATAAACAATAGGTCTTACTGTGTAGCACAGGTAACAATACTTAATCTATAATGGAAAAGAACCTTAAAAAGAATATATGTTTAATGTGTGTTTGTGTGAGTATGTTAGTTGTTCAATTGTATCCAACTCTTTGCAAGCCCATGGATTGTAGCCTACCAGGCTTCTCTGTCCATGAAATTCTCCAGGCAAGAATAGTGGAGTGGATTGCCATTCCGTTCTCCATGGCATCTTCCTGAGCCAGGGGTCAAACCCAGGTCTCCTGCACTACAGGCAGCACCGTGTCTGAGACACCAGGGAAATGTGTGTGTGTGTGTGTGTGTGTGTGTGTGTGTGTATACCTGAATCACTTATTTATTATGTAAAAGAACCTAAAAAAGAATATATATATGTATATATATATAACTGAATCACTGTTCTGTATACCTGAAATACAACTTTGTAAATCAACTATATCTCAATAAAAATTTTTTTGCCACTTTATTTTTTTAATTGAAGGATAATTGCTTTACAGAATTTTGTGGTTTTCTGTCATACATCAGCAAGAATCAGCCATAGGTACACCCATATCAATAAAAATTTTTTTTAAAGACATTTAAGAAAGTCCAAATGCTGGCAATATTTTAACAGGTTTATTGTTATAAAATTCAACTTCTGAAACTTGCTTGCTGAAACATTCTGACCTGTGTTAGTGTCTCTGCTTTTAATACTATTCTCAAACAAATGGAAATAGAAATTGTCGACCCCTGATTGCTGCCCCCTATTTTTCCACTCAAAATCACACAGGTAGCTTTTGACCCCATGGAGTAAAAATGTAACATTTAGAACTATCAATCAAGAAGATAATTCTTTTTTTTAAAGAGTGAAATGTTTTCTGTCCTAGTAGGGTCTTAGGGATATTCTCCGTGTATGCAACATGCTGGCTGAATGTCCTTTGGCATAACTGTGACACATTTGGCATGAATCGCCCACAGACTGGTGTCTTCTAAAAAGACAACCAGATGCCTCACTTGTCTCTTGCCAAGCATGGATAGTTGCGCTCTATAGGGGCAGATCTGTATGGAAGATGGGTCTTTGGGACACTAATCCACTACCTTTTCAGTCTGCTGGCCTCCCAAAATAAAGTTGCTATTTCTTGCCCCAATAACTCATTTCTTGATTTATTGGCCTGTCCTGCAGCAGGCAGTATGAACTTGAACTCAGTAACATTTACTTTCCACTTGTCACCTCTCTCCTAATTACATGTCTTTTTCTCCACCAGGAAGGCCAACCTCGATTCCTAAAATCCTCTCATCCCCCACTGCATAGGCAAATGTTCCCTCTTTGAGAAACCATCTGATCATCCAAACAAGAAGTAAAGTCTCCTCCCAAACTTTTCTACCACCTCCTACTTGGAACTACT